ATTCACTCTTTGTGATTTACAATATCCAATAAAACTATGTTGTTCTTCCGTATTATTAATCTTTTTCGCTCCCACTTCTGTTTATTATTTCTCTTTTGAATCTCTTTCCTTTTGCTTTGTATGCTACATGGAGTGTAGTAACTCGAACTGATGTACATCTGTGCAAAGTTCTACGCTTAAACCAGTAATATATATATGTATATATATAATTGGTCTGTTTTATCGACTTGGTACATAACTTAGAAACAAAGTTTGAATTGAAACGTTTGAAACAACTATTGAATTTGTAACAGAAATTAATTAAACGGTAGTCTATATCTGTGTCTTTAGACAGTTGTGTTTATTAAGGTAATTGATATAACTATGCTGACAGTAGGCTGTTCTAAATATTGCTTGGTATAATGAAAATTTATGCGTTCTATCTATCAGTAGTAAGAATTTGTATACTCCAAAGACTGCAGAGGTTCTTGCTACTGATACAAACTATACCTCAAATATTCTCATATGAGATCTTCGTGAAATTTATCTACCGAACCGACTTCATCATCAATCTACTCTCCAAGTGTTCTTTCTACGTGATCTGTTCAGAAATCCCATGGTATCCAAGTCAAATTGCTAAGAGTTTGGTTGTATATTAACTAGACTAAATCCCTACAAACCGTCATTTGTTTGCTACTAGGCTAGAATGTTCAGTTGATAAAAGCAACTTGTAAGCAAAACACGCCTACGCTTTAACATATTACAGATTACATAGACCTATGCATGAAGTCTGTTACCAAGTAGACTGCTTTCTCCACTTATTGCACTCAGTAAATGTTGAATCGGAATGTTGTCTATTCAAGAATGCTCAGTGCCACAATTTTTAGTCAATTTTTATATAGATGTATTGATGGATGTAACCCTTGCCGACTTCTATTTCTTGGAGATCCACTTGTTAGCAATGTGAAGGTCTCGTTGATCTATAGTACGCAGATAAAGACGTACACAAAACGCAGTTTTCCGAACATACTGATCAAATCTTAATATGCTAGACATGTAATTTTCTCCCGTAAAATGATACTGAAGAATTGGTCTTCACTGACTCCCAGAGCTCTCGTCTAGAAGCGAAATTTATGAATGTGCTGACCACTTCACTTATTTTAGAAGTTGTATCTGCTCTCCTAATGGGCAGACTGTTGACGAAATTTCAGCAAATATATAAAAGGTTCATTTGGTATTAGTCAACTTGTGTCACTTTTGGTATCATGGACATGTATAGCAGCAGCAGCAGTTCGATCCGTCATACTTTACGGTTGGAAAGTGATCGGCTGAAGGAAGTGGATAAGAGAAAATGGATGTTTATGATGGCAGATATCTTCAGTTTTTTCCTTTTTGGTGTTAGGGTTGCCGACATATAGAATAAGATAACAAAAAAGAGATCTCATTCAAAACATAGTCCATTTATAAGTGCACAACTAACTAGTTAAGGAAGACAACAGAATACCTACCAATAAAAATTAATTAAATTTTAAAGTGAACTAATATATATTTTTTGATAAAATTAGATGGTTCAATTTACCTTATCCACATTACAACACATCTTTGCCGATGTCTCCACAAAAGGTACGCCCCAACATTTCGCATATTGCATGCCTTGCAATGTGTAGTCTTTTTGCTTAGGATCTTTTAGATCACATTTATTAGCAACAATTAACATTGGTGGTTGTTCACAATTCTTGATACGAACTACCTGTTCATGAAACATCGGCATTGTTCGATAGCTACTGTACCCTTAGTGTGTCTTAGTTTGTAGTCATTGTCATCTGAAAGTCGACTGCCATTAGTAGAGGTAAAAACTAAGTGGTTTATAAGCTTATAGTAAAGTGTTAAGTTTAGTCTCAGGCGTCTTAGCCATAGTGTTTCTAGTCCTAGGGTATCACATCTAGTGGAGTAGTTCGCACCATTTTCGGTTCCGGGTAATTTTAACGTGAAGTACCTCTGCACTCCCTCGACTTTCAATTTATCGTCTATGCGTATGCTACTATACATGAATGAACAGTAATCAAATAAAGGACGCACACAAACCTTGTACAACAGAATTCTAGACTCATTTCTGTAGAAGTTCCTGAGTAGAAAGCCGATAAGTCTGAGTGACTTTGACACTTGTTTGGAGATATGATCAGAAAATGATAAGTTATGTGAATATTTCAGCCCTAGGTCCAGTACGGATTCCAGTCGTTGAAGTGCATGGCCTTGAATTGTCAGGTCAAGTTCTAAATTGTTGCAACCTATGCAGAGCCAGCCACATTTTTCGACATTAAATTGGAGCTGCCAGGTGTCACACCATCTATCCATTTTTTCTAATTCTTTCTGTATGGCGTTTACTGTTATTCCAAGATCTGTGTTCTTGCATTTATACGTCACTTTTAAGTCATCTGCATATAGTATTGGTTTACCTACACTAAAGCATTCACAGATACTGTTTATATATATTATGAATAAGAGTGGGCCCAATATACTTCCCTGGATCACACCACTACTTACTGGTTTACGCCTTGAGATTATCGAGCCAAATTTCGTTGTCTGACTTCGGCCACAGAGAAATGATTTTATCCAGCTCAGGAGAGGGTCACATATCCCTAGTGAGCATAACCTGCTGACTAGCAGATTATGGGGAACTCTGTCGAAGGCTTTTGTTATATCGAAATATAGTACAATTACTAGTTCTCTGTTGTCCCTACTTCGTGTAACTTCATTGAAAAAGTCTATGTGACAGGTCACATATGATCTCTTTTTGAGAAATCCGTGTTGTGATGGATTGATAAGTTCATGTTCTAGTAAGTTGTCTGACACTTGGTCTTTAACCACTTTCTCCATTATTCGGGATATTACCGGTGTTATATGGATAGGTCTGTAGTTACATGCACTGGTTTTGGCCCCTGCTTTGTGTTTAGGTAATATGTATGTGGTTTTCCACGCTTCAGGATAAGTTCCAGTTTCCAACGAGAGAGTAAATATTCTAAGTAACAAGACTACCATTTCCGTGCTACCATTTTTGTATATGAGAGATGGTATGTCGTCTGTTCCAGTACTACCATTAGACTTCAAAGTCTTAATCGCTAAGTCTATATTTTGTATATTAAAGTCTATTTCGCCTAATTTGTGGTTACTTTTGCAGGTCATTTGGAAATTTGGGGTGGGGCGCACTCTGGCGTCATTGCAAAACCACTCATTGAGGAGTTCACTTATAACCTGGGGATCATTGTATATTATACCCTTATGTTCCAAGCTGCTTACAGTATTGTCTTTACTGCTTTTCAGACGTTTCTGCAATATCCTACAAAGTTCCTGAGTGTTGGAGTTGCCCACAAGCGCTTTATTTTCTTCAAGTCGTGACATCATTTTGTGTTTATCTTCAAGCCGTTTAAGAGTTTCATGTATTTGGTTTAACGTATTAAGTTCCTTAAATATATGGTATTTGCTTTTCAATTTCCTTAGTTTTAGTCGCGTTTTGCGGTCTATAAATGGAGTTGGTGTCTTTAGAGCAGATTTTAGGGGCGCGATTGTGTCTCTTGCTGAGCCAATTGTTTTGTAGAAAATATCAAGTGATACTTCTAAGTTATTGTTGATGAAGTATTCTTCCCAGTCAGAACTTCTCAGCGGATCTGATAGGAATTCCCAATCGGCATTCTTATAGTCCCTATACTGATAGTGCGCCGGGGAATTTTTAGGTGTGTGTTTAGTTGTTAGTCGGAGGGGTAGCGTGCAGTACAATATGTTGTGATCACTGTTATCAAGTTTATTTCCTACCTCTATCGAGATGGGCTCTATTTCATGACAAAGGATTAAGTCAAGAGTATTTTCATTTCTTGTGGGGAGGCGTACGCACTGCTTCCATCCGCCTACGTCTATAGCTTGTAGTAGCTCGTCATGGATTCTAGGTCCTGTACAGGTATCCCAGTTTACTCCAGGGATTCGGAATGACAAGTGGGATAAGTGAAATAATCCCTGAACCAGTTCAATAAGGGAAAGGCAAATAGATTAACTATATAAACAAAATAAAAAGTATAAATAAATAGATATTTACAGGATTGAAATAAATATTTATCCCTCTACGGCCAAGGTAGAAACAAGGACTGTGCATACATCTTTTGTACACAAATGATCTGGCTTAAATTCATGAACGGCAAAGGCCTCCACTATCTTCAGAAGTTCAGAACGAAGAAAACGTGGCAAGTTAGTATGGATTCGATAGATGATCTTAAAATCACGATCAGGGTTGGTAGAGTGATAGAAATCGATCAAGTGTTCTAGAGTGGAGCTTCTTACACTCTACCTTTCTCTCTGGTAAAACCACTTTGAAATGTGCTGTCGTATCCGTGTGGAAAGTGTTCTCTGGCTATTGCTGATGTACTTTGCTCCACAAGAATAGGTGAACTGATAAATGCACGCTGAGGTGGCCAGACCAGACAGCTTATTTTTCACTTGCTGCTGAAGGGCATTTGCAGTTTTGCCGCAAAGAACGTCTTCGCAGCTGATTTAGAGAAACGACTTTCGAGCACATCTGAAGCTTGACCACCCTTGAATTCTAAATGTATGAAGGCAGTTTTCTTTGGAACTTAGTCAGTGACCAATTTAGAATGCTTACCTTTCGTATTACTGTGAATAAATTGGTTCAAATAACCGTTTCCTGCAAGCGTGCCTTTTATAAAGTCAGGTTCTGAGTCCACGTAATCACAACTACAAATGTTTCTTATTGTAAAGCATAGCGAGTGAATTAAGTTCCTTTTCCTGGATATAGGCACTCAATTATAAAAATGGTTTAGCTGTCTATTCCATATACGTTTCTAGTGGATGGGTCTTCTGAGAGATCTGTCAATAGATCGCATCTTTAGGAGGCTACCGTTGAACTTTGGCAGACTCTTACCTATCAATCAAGAAGTGAACACAAAAAAGTCAAATTGGTTTATGCTAGCTCGTAAAAACGATATTGGATATTGAAAGGGTTGAAGCGGCTTTTTAGTTCTCAAGGTCGTAGCCTTGAGGATCCTGCTTCGACAACGTTTCATCGATTTCTCGTTCCATCACTCACATTTGTGTAATACAACTACATACGTATTTTATGAGGTATCATAATTCACTTCTTCAACTGAATGTAAGTTTGTTTACTTGCTAACATCAAAATGTAGTCATTTTTTCAGTAGTATGTTTTTAACAAGTTCATTATTGCTAGTGGTCTTAAGTAGGTGCTTGTAGGCCTTTATATATCTGTTTTTATATCTCAATGATCATGCCTTCAGTTTTATTTCGTGATAACCAAAATCTACTGAAGAATCTTATGGCTTTTGTAGTGAACATGATTAATGGTACTTATGTTCATCTTAATGGAATAATTCGTCCAGAAACCTTCTTAATAAACTTAATTTATAACGAGTAGACTTTTTTATCCATAAATCATAAATATAATTGTATGCCAGAATGCCATAATCTCAAGTCACATTTTTTGAAACAATTTTGCAATATTTGTTTGTCCTTAGTACCGATTAGTTTCACAAGTTCAGTGGTAAGGTTGTTTAGGGTGGCTGCTATAGTTTAACTTTAATGAAGGTGGATAATATCAATCTGCGTAAGATGGTAAATTTGAGGTCTTTTTGTAGTACTAAAAGATAGATAGTGGTTTTCCGATTCATGCCCTCAGTGTAATCAATGCTTTATATCTTGCTGTTTTTCTGCATCCCAGTAACGAGTGTTGAAATTTGATATATTAGCTGGTAATGCTGTTTTCGTAAATATCTGCTCAAATTATTACTTACAACCAACGCAATTATCCTAGTTTCTACGATATATGACTATATAATGTCAGGGGCTTTTCAAATAGTTCTCCTTTACTTCTTAGGTGAATAAAACTTATACTTTCAGAATTCTAAATAATTTCTTTTACCTAACTTCATTGATTACTGTACATCATTTTCCAGGCAAAAAATAGTCCCGGTTAATTTACTCACTTAACTATATGCATTTCAAAGACTTTCTTTTTGGTTAGTTTATTTGGTATTTGTTTGCTGAGTTACCTGATTCCCTTGTCTACAGTGACCCGCTTCTACTAGGAGACCCAGTGTTTTACTTCCTATGATGTTTCACACATTAAAGGTCAATATTAACACAAGGAAGGACACTGAAATCAGTGTCTTCATTCTACATCACATTATATTTGGAGTTTTCGCGGCAGTGCGTAGCTTTCATTAAACATCTTTCAGACAACAAAAATGATATTTTGACGTATCATTTAGATATAGATGGAGAACCGATATCAACCTCCAATACAGGTGTGTCAGGTGTCTGGCAATTGTATCTGTAAGCAATTTGAATTACTCCTCAAAGTGTTCCATTCCAACTTCCAGTCGCGTCTCTTAAGAAGTAATTAAATACCATCCTCAGAAATCGCATCACTTACTACAGGTGATGAGTTTCAATGGTTGTTTGGCACTATCTACGGTTGATTCCTTTTTTGTTTCTCATTTTTGACGCCCACCACTGTTTGCAGTTGTTACGAAGACTTCTAGTCAGCCTCCATTTGAGCAGCTTTCCCTGGTCGTTATGTCCTAAGCCCACTGGAATCACTTTCCTTGCAACTTTCAGTTTGGATAAAGCTATAGAAATCAATTGTAACCTACTGACCTTCAGTTGCAGGTTATCAACAACCAATATCATTTGCTACGAAGGGCCGGATATGATACCGGGGTCCCACAGAATAGATGTCACTGCCACACTGCAAAACGCGTTTAGTTATTTCTTCCCTAAATGAAGACTCTCACCTAGAAGCTAGAGACATTACAGTTTCGTAGCTGTTTCATTCCAATGTTCGTTCAGTGGTAGGCAAACACTTAGACGGTTAAAGGGATGATCGGAACTAACAGAAGTGCTCCGAAATAGGCAGAAATCTTCCACCAACCCTCTCCATTTCAACGGAGAATTTACACAAAAGTGCTCCAGTTGAGTCTATCACACTGCATAAAACAAAGATAAAGGTTGGTGGTAGCCAGGTAACACGGTATCTCGTATGTTTAAAATTAGTCTTGGTCGTGGACAGATGGCTATCTGGACAAAATTGCAGAAGATGACTACGTTTATTGGTTCTTGGACATAGGACTTTACAGATGCTTCACCATTCCTGACTGGCACAGCTTCTCTACTTAAGCATTGAGGATACCTGATAAGGTGACTACATCTGGGCATTTTGCTTTCAGAAGCCAATTAGACAGATTTGATAGAGTTTATCTCCTACTTCGAGACCGATACCTATTAACTGACATGTGAAATCTTCGTGAAAATAGTATGTTTGGTGAAAGTTAGTGCTATTTAGAAGTTGTATGTAGGTATGACAGTCACTGGAACGATCGCTGCTGCTGCTGCTGCTGGATTCAACATAGAACTTGGCACCGAAGTGCAGCAGTTCCAGTTGCCACGTTCCAAATAGCACACAAAGGTAGACAGGAAAAGGAGAGAAGAGAATCAATAGAATTTAGATAAGTATAAGATTGCAACAGGATGAGTAATGGTAGAAAGGAATATGAAGGTTAAAGAGACTGAATACATCTGCGCCATTGACAACGATTTTGAGCCATGTCACCTATTGTCTCCAGCCTTCATTGATTCTTACAGTCCCGAGGGCCCCAACCCGGAAGTCTGCATCTCCCTCCCTACCTGACCCAGTTTAACTGTCAGGGATTTCATGGATTGATTGATGCCATGTTTTTGTTTGGCCACCGCTTACTCTTTTCCAACCTGCACCTATATCAGCTAGTAATGCCCGTCGGGGGAGACGATGGTCAGGCATGCGCAGCACGTGGCCTAACCATCTCAATCTATGTAACTTCATAGCCTCTTCGATTGATTTTCCCTCTTTGCCCAACACTCTACGTCTAACGTCAACATTACTTACCTTATTATACCACCTAACGCGAGAAAGAGATCGTAAACATCTGTGGTCAAAAACAGACAATCTCTTCATGTCTTCCGCTCTCAATGGCCACGTCTCACCGCCATAGAGAAGGACGGAGCGAACTGATGAGCAGTATACACGTCCCTTGGTTGACAGCCGGATGTCACGCCTACGCCAGAGACGGTGTAAGTTAGCGAAAGCAGCCCGAGCTTTCTGGATCCGTGCTGTGATTTCGTCACCAATCAATCCGTTGGTGCTGATACAACTTCCAAAATAGGTGAAGTGGTCAACATGTTCTATCACTTCACTCTCTATCACTAAGCTAGGAGTTGACGTAGTCCAGTCCTGTAGCAATGTTTGACTATGAAGGGAGTGCCAAGAAAGTACATTGCACTAATCAAGGCACTCTACTCAAACTCACGTAGCTGTGTAAGGGCTTATGGGGAATTGTCATCTGAATTGATAACAACTAGTGGTGTCCGTCAAGGATGTCCACTTTCCCCTTTTCTGTTTAACTTCATCATAGATATGCTAATGGAAGTCTCCTTAACTGAACTTAATGACTTAGGAATCGACTTGTTACCAGGGGATAGTCTTATAGACTTAGAATACGCAGACGACATAGTCCTGTTAGGGGAGGACGCTGACAGAATGCAGAGTCTTCTGAACACCTTGAGCAGCAATCTTCGTATGTTTGGCATGCGATTCGCCCCTGTGAAATGTAAGATGCTGCTACAGGACTGGACTACGTCAACTCCTAGCTTAGTGATAGGGAGTGAAGTGATAGAACATGTTGACCACTTCACCTATTTGGGAAGTTGTATCAGCACCAACGGACTGATTGGTGACGAAATCTCAGCACGAATACAAAAATCTCGGGCTGCTTTCGCTAACTTACACCGTCTCTGGCGTAGGCGTGACATCCGGCTGTCAACCAAGGGACGTGTATACTGCTCATCAGTTCGCTCCGTCCTTCTCTATGGCGGTGAAACGTGGCCATTGAGAGCGGAAGACATGAAGAGATTGTCTGTTTTTGACCACAGATGTTTACGATCTCTTTCTCGCGTTAGGTGGTATAATAAGGTAAGTAATGTTGACGTTAGACGTAGAGTGTTGGGCAAAGAGGGAAAATCAATCGAAGAGGCTATGAAGTTACATAGATTGAGATGGTTAGGCCACGTGCTGCGCATGCCTGACCATCGTCTCCCCCGACGGGCATTACTAGCTGATATAGGTGCAGGTTGGAAAAGAGTAAGCGGTGGCCAAACAAAAACATGGCATCAATCAATCCATGAAATCCCTGACAGTTAAACTGGGTCAGGTAGGGAGATGCAGACTTCCGGGTTGGGGCCCTCGGGACTGTAAGAATCAATGAAGGCTGGAGACAATAGGTGACATGGCTCAAAATCGTTGTCAATGGCGCAGATGTATTCAGTCTCTTTAACCTTCATATTCCTTTCTACCATTACTCATCCTGTTGCAATCTTATACTTATCTAAATTCTATTGATTCTCTTCTCTCCTTTTCCTGTCTACCTTTGTGTGCTATTTGGAACGTGGCAACTGGAACTGCTGCACTTCGGTGCCAAGTTCTATGTTGAATCCAGACAGACAGACAGAGTCCTGTAGCAGCATCTTACATTTCACAGGGGCGAATCGCATGCCAAACATACGAAGATTGCTGCTCAAGGTGTTCAGAAGACTCTGCATTCTGTCAGCGTCCTCCCCTAACAGGACTATGTCGTCTGCGTATTCTAAGTCTATAAGACTATTCCCTGGTAACAAGTCGATTCCTAAGTCATTAAGTTCAGTTAAGGAGACTTCCATTAGCATATCTATGATGAAGTTAAACAGAAAAGGGGAAAGTGGACATCCTTGACGGACACCACTAGTTGTTATCAATTCAGATGACAATTCCCCATAAGCCCTTACACAGCTACGTGAGTTTGAGTAGAGTGCCTTGATTAGTGCAATGTACTTTCTTGGCACTCCCTTCGTAGTCAAACATTGCCATAGAACCTCTCGATCCACGTAGTCGAAGGCTGCCTTCAAGTCAAGAAATACGGCAATTGTTGGACGCCTAAAAGTGTGTCCATGTTCTAGGATCTGTCGGAGAGTGAAGATATGATCTATGCACCCTCTACCTGGCCTAAAGCCCGCTTGATTTTCCCTCGTTTGTTCCTCCCGAGTTCGGCTTAGTCTGTTCATGATTAC